ACAAGAAAAGTAAAAATAGAAGAGGGGGGGGGGGTGGAGGGAGGGGGAGGGGAGAAGACCTCAAACCAAAGCAGGCCAATGGTCTTAGGCTCCTACCTGGCTCTAACTTCTGTGACAGAGACTGAATTTTCCAGGCTCTGGATGCAAAGCGACTGAGGGACATCACCAAATTCCTCAAGGGCCATCCCTGCTGCTGTTGCCACCTGCAATGGAAAATAACAGGCTGCATTAGACAGGAGACAAGGGACGAGACATCAGGGAGGGTCTCTGGCCTTTCACTCAGGAGCCCAGTGCTGGCAGGTGCATTCCATACATCTGATTCTCTCAAACCCGAATTCCCTAGGTTGCAGGAAACCTCAAGTATGCTGCCAAAGAGTTACAACTGTTCTCCAAGGAACTAGCTCCTGGGCTGTCAATCACAACACCACAGCCCTGTACTTAGAATAAGTCAGAAAGTTCAACAGAAACAGAAGTGGTGAAACCTAGGTTTATAAAGGGCAGCAAAAGTTAATGGTTCATACAAAAGGTTACAAGAATACCTAATATGAGATCAGATCACCAGCTTGGATTTGAGGCTCATTCGTCCTTCAGAGCTTCCTCAAGAAACACTCTGAAGAAGAGGCTTGTAGCAAAGGTCCTGACTATGAAATAATACAGAATGTTCTGTAAGACATCAGACTTGATTTGATATAAGTAGGACACAGATGAATCTGCTTGGGGACCACGCCACAGTCCCCGTATGCTAATTGGATTATGATGCCAAAATGTAAAGGATGCGTACTGAAGTTTGTTATTCGTCCCACTAACCCAGACCCTAGCACTATGTCCAAGTGCCCAATGGGACCCTTCTCCCTTCAGCATCCCCTTCTCTGCTCCTCAGGGGCTCCCCGATAAGCTCACACAAAGCACGAAGTGGAAGGGACTGCAGCTACCGCCCCAAAGAGGGGAAATGAGTCTCAACACCCAAGGACCAACGGGTCAGCCAAGTGAGGGTCAGACCACCACTGTGAGCACCACCACGTTCTGCCTCCTCAAAGAATACCAAGGACTCAAAACAAAACAAAAAAAGGTGAGCCTCCCAACTTTCCTATAGTCTGAAAATACTTGATTTTGCTTTGAGTTCTATAACCCTGTCCCTCATTCAAAGATAAACACACTCACATTAGCTTTCTAGCAGATGAGCTGTTTCCTTTCTCCCTTCCTGTTTTTTGTTTTGTTTCTCAATCTAGGTGTATTGTGTAATGCGGAGGAACCTGAGTTGACACTTAGACTAAATTCCTCATACTGCCTTTAAGGATTTGTCTGGCCATCTGCCCTCCAGAGACGGTAGCTGAGTGCCCCTTAAAATTTGGAGTGACTCCGGGCATCAGGATCTTGGGCTGAGGGTGCCACGTGCTTCCTAAGGAAGCAGAGCTCTTCCATTTAAGTAAGAATTACATAAACATTTGCAAGCTGAGAAATTACTCTTTAAAAATATACAAAATTTGTTTTTCTACTAAAGGCTTTTAAATCTACTGTCTCCCCCCAATGTCTGTCCTTTCCCCCTCAAAATCACATAGCCCTTCCTTCTGTTTCTTAGGAAACCCAGGTCTCTGATCTTGCAGTTGGGAGCTCTATGCTGAGGGAAGGTGAGATTCTGTCCTCTTGGATCTAGTCCTCACTGGCTGCAGAAAATTGGTGTAAGAATGTGGGTGACTTTCTTCCCTTCCTCATGCCTCAGTGACCCGCTCTGTAAATGGAAAGGCTGGATGACACGACCATTTCCCTAGCTCTGACAATTTATGGAAGAGCCCTTCCATCAGGGAGGTAGGCATGCCTGCCTTCCCCTCCTCTCTGGGCCCCTGTAGAGAATCTTCCCAGTAGATGTGTTGGCAGGAGGTCTTCCATTAAATGCCAAGTCCCTCCCATCAAGAGGAAGGGAAGTTAGAGAGGGGGCCCTCCCTAACCCTGAACCTTACTAAACCAGATAGGAGACTGGAGGCAGGGACGGGGAAAGAGTATGGTATGCACCCCCACCCCACAGCACACTCTTGGTGCTGCCCTAGGAAGCCCCACAGTAGTGGCTGCTAATCCAACACAACTGTGTAGATGGGAAGAAAGCAAGGACGTGTCAATACATCCACAGCATCGATATAAATGTCCAGTCACTGCCCACACACTCCTGTTTTTCTCCTACTTTAGGCCTATACGTGCCTGTAGAAGCCCGCGGTAGGTAGGGATGCAACACCCGACTCTTCCTCCTCCCAAAGTCAGAAAGGAAGAGACAGTGAGACAGGAGCTACTTGGCTTCCTATAAATTGTTTTGTCCTTCCTCACAGCTGCAATCAGAAGCTAAGGGCTCCCGCAGGCCTTGTTCTGATCTGCTGCAGGCGATGGAGGGTTTTTGAAACGGAGAGGACTTGGCTGCGGCCCCGTTTTAGCTGCCGTTGGGGCTGGCTAATGGGCTCATTCAGGAAGACCCCCGCCTGCCACACTAAGAGTCCCCCGCCGGCCCCCTCCCCGGTCCCAACCCAATTAATAAATGGGGGCTCCCACTTTATGACTCTAGGAGCAGGAACCACCGATACAAACGACCCCCAGGGAAGGACAGGAAAAGGCCTTCCAAGAATCAAGCCAGAGAACTGTGCATCCACACGCACATGCTGCCACAGGCTGGTCCAAAAGCACTAAGGGTGAAGAAACTGACAAAAATTGGTCTTTTATTTCCCAGATCCAGAGTGGGCCAGCATTCCTGAAGTTGTAGGCATACTCCACAACACACTTGCCCGGTTCTCCACCCTGCACTGTACTTGCCCCCCCAACCTCCAGCGGCAGGGCCCCCTCCTGGACTCAGCAATACTCAACACAGCACATCACACTGATTGGTTAATGAGCACCTCCTCTGCAAAAACAGCGGCAAGCAACTACCTCTCACCAAGCTTTCACCACTACTGTCAGCACAAACGTGTCCTGGGATCACTGTCTGGAGGGCAGCTTTTCTGCCTCCTCTCATATCCAAGCTGTGAGCCACTTCCTGTGGACCCCATTCCTTCCTTCCGACTGCCCTTGCCCTGCTCCAGTATGGGCCCTGATGGTGCCTCACGCCTGGGCGAGAACAATACCATCCCAGAGAACTTCTCTGCTTCCTGGACTTAGTATGGTGACAAAAATCCTCACCTTCTCATCTCTTCATGCTCTGCTCCCTGTACTGCTCACCAAGCCAAATTTCAGCTCCTCACTTGGGTCACCAAGGCAACCAAGAATGCTCTCTCAAGCCTCTTTTCCTGCGCTGTCCTAAGTCCATCAATCCACAGCCCTCTACACGAAACACCTAAGTCCTTCCTTCCACGAGTGTCCTCCTGCTGTTCACCTTCCTTCTCTGTTCTGTGTTCCTCCATCTTTACTTTTAAATGATAGTTTTTTATGAACTCCATGTTTTCTGCTTATTTCTTTGCTTTGGCCTCCTCTGTTAGGGTACTATCTTGTAACCTGCTGCAATGCACTGACTTATAAATACCAATTCCCCACCTCCCACCCAGGTATGAAACTCACCTCTCATTAGACCCACTTCCCAGAAGTGGAGTCCTCCCTTAAATGCCTTCCCACTTGGACTGGACTCTGCCAGTGATATTTTCTCGGGCACGGAACAAATCTCGGGATACATCCAACAGCCACGAGGAGCACAAGCTCACTGCCACCGTTCATACTGTAGCCTGTCCCAGATTTGACACTGTCTTTCCAAAATCGTAAATCCAGCTCCATGACTTCCAAAGTTTTACAAAACATAAAAAAAGCAAAAAACCCCAAACAAGCACAGCAACCAAAGGAATTTACCTCCTTGATTCACATCACATAAACACTATGTTCTCTGAAGATGCCTTAGGAGAGAAAGCATCATTTTGTTCCCTACTTCCAAGATTAGTCTTATATTCTCAGATCATGGCCTCATTTGCTATAATGAAAATCAACCCCACTACCAAAACTAATTTTGCTCCTTAGCAGACCTGTCTCTGTCATTTTAGAAGGTCTCTAGAACGGAGAAGTTGTCTACATCTTTCAACTGTCTGGCAGGTACGTCAATGGACTAACCTCACTCTCAAAGGCTGAGACTTACTTCCTCTATGTTAGCCCCGTGTGGTCAGAGAGGAAAAAGTGGCTCATCATTCCCTTCATCGCCTACAAATAAATACCTCAGGATAACAAAAGCGATTTGCCTTTCACTCCTTCCAACCTTTATCCTCAAGATGCCCAAGAATCAAAGACATGAAAAGCAAAGCAGCACAGTGCCTGACATGTAGTAGGTACTTGACTTTAGTTACCTTCTCTCCTGTCTTCCAAAACCACAGGTTTCTTTACCTTCCTGGGCTTGGTTTTTCACTGGCCAAAGAGGGCAGTGAACTAAACAAACCCCTGTCTTTTTGTAGCTCCAACACCCTACGACTGCAACTCAGAGATTCTGGCTGGATTGTCCTTACGTGTGCTGCCCTCAATTAAGAGCTAAAACAACGGGAAGGGAATGTTAGTTTCCAGGAGGACCTAGAATTCATAAAACCACTTGGAGAGTTTTAAAACTTGGTAAGTCATCTTAACATGCATCTCCTCATTCCTGATTACTCTCTTAAACTGTGTAGAGCAGTGCTAAACACACATCCCATATAAGCTGCTTAACATTTTTGTTTGTATTCCCTAGGCTCCCCACAGAAAATAGGGAATACTATCCCCAGCCCAAGGGTTCAGGCCCGTCCTCCAACCTTGAAGATATTACTGCTATGATCAAGGGGAAATCTGCCCACAGGCACTTTCTCAGGAGTTCCCTGAAACAAATCATGAACCTCTAAAGCAATCACCTCCTAAACTTCCCTAGCCCAACCATAACTTTCCCTTCCATACCATATCCAACTTTCCTGGCAGCCCAGCTAAGAAGAGTGCGCTAGTTGTCCCTTCTTAGCCTTATTTCTACCTCCTTTTTCTATTGCTTCATTTTGTGAGTACAACTTAGAAGCTCCTGAATTATTTAGAGACTTGGTTCCTAAAATTTCTGTCTTTGAATCCAGTCTGTTTTTTCCAGGCCTGAAAGCATTCAACACTGCGTTAGTCTGGGGTAAGTGGTTGTCTACAAGATGATTCTCACCAAGGATGTCCCTTGGGCATTACTGAAGTTCTGAGACACAGCAGGGAGAAGGGTTCCTCCCAGAGACAGCCCCTCAGACAGGCCGCTCCAGCA